ATTTTAAAAATGTCGAAATAATGCTTCAGAGAAGACTTTTCTTTATGTTGATTTGCCGGGAAACGCAAATCGGGTACATAACAATGTTGAAGAGCAGGGGGTGCAGTATTGTCACATTAAGGAAAATTCAATCAACAATGGATAAATATTCGGGCGGGAGTAAGGAATTTTACATCAATAGGTACTTTCTAGGATGGAAAAGAGCATTTTTAAAGATAAAACTGCGGAACGGAAAACTTTTCAAAAAATCTCAAAAAGTAGGGGGAACCAAATTTTTTTCGAAACGGTCAACCTCAAAAAGATTCATAGAAGCTACACAATGGCGTCTCTGTAGATGCAAAATTGCTTAGCACGTGTTAAGGCTGCAATTACAGGTGTTTTTCAGGGCAAAAAATTGAGTTTTTCTGGGGCAAACACGTAGTCACGTAAAAAATTCAAAGTTGGTCGAAAAAGCAGGCGGAAGCAATTATTTATGGTTCGGTTGCCTTCCTAAGGATCTGTAGAAACGACTTAAAAGTGTCTTGGGAGGTGCCAAATGGCTCAGAATATTTTTCGAGGGGCTTTCCAGGGTTGTAATACAGTGTTTTGAAGGAAACACGCAGGTACGAAAAAGATTCAAAATTCGTTCAAAAAGCAAGAAGAACCAACAATTTTTGGTTTAAAATCCTTCTTAAGGATTCATAGAGACTATTTAAGCACGTTTTTGGAGATGTCGCATGCCTCAAAAAAGTTTAAGACGACTGCAGATTGATCGATGGCTAAACTTGCTAAATTCCGTTATTTTAGCCACCGACTTAGAGACCTAATAAATTCAATTTCTCGAGAAAAAGCAAACCAAAGCACGAAATATTTCTACTGTAGCTTCCCAAGGATGTGTAGAAGCTCCCTAAAGGTGTCTCATTAGGTGACCTTTGGTGACTTTTTTTGAAAATGAAAGTACGTGGGAAAAATCGGCATTTTTTCATGAAAAATAGGTACTCAACTTCTTCCTTGTGTAGAATGTTTCAGAATGCCTCGGAGAAAAATTGTAATTAGTGCATTACAATCCTCTTAGAGTCCTCTACAAAATGGTATAAGCAAGATTTCTGAGAAACCATTTCATGATTCAGGAGACGCTCCGAACGCTTTGTAAGAAATAGCCACTTCACGGGTCAGAAAATACATATGCGACTATTCGCACAGTTTGTGACACTTTCAAAGTGACTAGAAATTTTTTTGAGGTATACTACGTGTAGTTTATGACCCGAAGATACTATATTTATCAATTTTGACTCGAAAAAAAAATGTCGTCCAATTTCATAAATATCGATTTTTGAGCGCTCCCGAGCGGATTGGGACCATAGTGCAACGGTTGGCGACCCATGCGAACGAATAGTGAGCCATGCGTCGTCATTGCGAAAACCAAAACGCCTGCAATTTCGCGTGCATGCAATACAGACAACCCTCGAGTACGAATAGTTGTATCCAGAAGTTGCATTAAAAAACCCCAAAGCGTCCTCAGTTTATTCTGCTTTTGACAACAGAATATGTTTGACCATCGCATTTTCCATAACGACATGTGAGTGAAGTCGCCTAATTTATTTTCCTTCCTTTTCTTTGGGGACCCTTCACGAATCATAAAACTTGTCTCTTTAAATCAACTTAAGTCATTTGGGCCAAGCCAGAAGGAAGAAAGAGAAGAGAGGGAAGTATGAGAGTATGAGAAGTACATACGCCTAAAAATTAACTTTCATAGTTTTAAGACTTTATTGCGCTTCTCCCCTTTGTTTTGCTATTTTTTTTTTATAACTTACATCCCAGAGGCATATGAAATAAGTGCTTGAGAAAATTCCTGGTAAAAGGGGTATAAATCCGTCAATTTTGAACACCAAAATATTTCACAAAGCGTGAGCTAAAACTGATTAACATTTGATCTGGAAGTGATTCTCCTGGGAAAATTGTCTAGGGGACTCCCCCCGACCCTGTTCTTCTCTGAGAGTGTCCCCTCAGACTCCCACCCCGCAACACCAAATCCCCCCCCCCCTTTAAAGCTATGTCTCTGAATCTACAAGCGTCCCAGTGGCATACAAAAGCTCTGCATTGAAACAGGATTTTGAAACTAGCAAAACTGATGGATTGTTCGTTGGAAATCAGGAGCTGATCGACAGGAATCTGGACGCGGACTACTTCAGTCAGACGATCGATTTCGACTATGCCGAGGAGAAGATGGGAAAGCGACGGGAGACGATGCGGAAGGCTTGCGAGGAGACGGGGCTCAGCGTTCCTGGGGACGATCCCGAGCACAGACTCAACGCTTGGGAATACCTCATCAACAAAGAGCACAACCTCGTATGGTAAGAACAGAGCCAAACTCCCGCACATTAGAGATACCTCCAACTCATGAAACTTTCCGATATTCTTCAAATCACACTTTCTGCCCACAAAATACCAATTACCAGGGCCGGATTTACCAATAGGCTACATAGGCTATATAGCCTAGGGCGCAACATTCTGAGGGGCGCACAATTTTTGAAAATTTATTCAAAAACGTATTTCCCAAAACCAACTTGCAAACGTAAACGTGTCTCAAAACTGTTTAAAATCGTGTTTTTTTAAAGGTGAATTTGAACATTTTCCGGACACCTAACATCCTCCCTCTGATCTGGAGGGGAGGGGCGTCTGGGGGAGCCCCCCCCCCCCCACAAGAGCGCCTACTTTTAGGGGCGCCACCCTAAGTTTAGCCTAGGGCGCTAAAAATGTAAATCCGGCCCTGCTAATTACCTCGATTCGAGTACTGCTAAACAAACTCGGTATATTTTGCAATACAATTACCTGCGCGCTGACTTTATTTGACAAGTTCAGAGGTGCCTTAGTATCAGAGAAGGAATGAAATGTGTGTGAGAACGAGCTTCAGTCATTTGCATAACGGATAGGCTCTTTTCCGCGACTCATTAGGTCTACGTTGATTACGGTTTTCTGCGGATAATAATGCGGAATTTATAAAATGTGAGCCACAATCGTTTATGTCTCTCTTGAAGTAACTTCATTTTACCAAAACCTTGGGGAGGGGGGGGGGGTTGTGACCTGACATGACCCCAAACATGATACATGAGGAAAGAAATGAATAATTTGATGAAGGCATAAGACGTTAACTTAAATAAAGGTATTTTAGGATAATTTTGTTGTGAGAGTGAAATAAGGAATATAATAATAGGTATGTGATTAAAATACCTAAAAAAAATTGTTCAAAAATCAAGTTTTCAGCAATTCGATCAGTTTTACTCGTTTTTCATCTAGGCCTTCTAAAAGACCGGGGGGGGGGGGGGGGAGGAGATTGCTCCCCCGCCCCCTCCCAAATGACGCCAATGCTACCTTGAGAATTAATTTTTTGACATATTCCACACGTTCTGCATGACATTTTGACGAGGAAACATGTACATTAGAGGTCAAATTCGGACTGACCCTGTCTCATGGTCCATTAGAAGTCGTTGTCTACTGTACTTGCTAAAAACAATGTTTGTTTTTCCATGGCATCCGGGATCTCAGGTGCAACGTGTTTAAGGCAGCCTCAACTTCGTGGCTGTACAACTTCAACATCCTAGCGGGCTACTCGTCTGGCGAGCTTCGCAAGAGCAAGATCTCGCTGATCGAACTGGCTCGGCGGCGCTATCCGCGGCCTAGCGCAGCCGAGCTCCTAGCCGTGGCCAACACCTCTCATACCTTCATCATCGCCCGTCATCCCTTTGAGCGGCTCCTCTCTGCCTATCGGGACAAGATCCTCCGACCCATAGTTCACACCCTCCACCACAAGCTCGGCTTGCAGATCATCCAGAATTACCGATTCAACACCACTAAGGTCAGTTCGATGGACCAGGGTGTCCACTAAAACAGGCTGGCCAAAAATCAGTACTTTCATAGTAATTTTTCTGTTCATTCCCGAGAAATTCAGTATTTCCTCAACAGAAAAATTCAGTACTTTTTCGGTACCTCAACTTGACGAAATTCAGCAAATTTCAAAAATGTGAATTTCCCGCTCAAGTTGCGACAAAAATGACAAAAAAATGAAAAAATTCCGGACCTCCTAGCAGAATTCCGCTTTTTTTCAGTACTTCCGGACCGCCCTTAAAAAATCAGTACTATTTCCATACTTTCCGAAAATTCCGGACTTGTCGACACCCTGTGGACCAATCTAAGGTGAAAGTAAAGAACATCCATGGCAAAAGTGAGAAACCACGTACCTCCGTCATATTTTATTTGTTCTTTGGAAAACTAGTCAACGTCATTCTTTTAAAGCTTCCATGATTTTTACTCTTTGTTGGCAGAGTATTCTTATACATTTCAAGCTGTAAAGTTGGCTTGTTTCTCTTCGAAAAAATAGAACAGGAGTGGGTATTTTCAAACAGCGCGATGGAACTAGGTCGTTCCCTACTTTGGCCATTGACATTTACCTTCATTGAGAGATTTCAAAATACCTATTTGCTTCTGCTTCTTTTCATAGAAAAACAAAAGGAAGTTGTTTCAAAATTTCACGTCTTATTTTATGTAAAATGAAGAAGAATCACTGGAATTGCCAATAATATTAATGCTGGTTAGTTTTCCTTGGAAAAATCAAACATGACAGAAATCTGTGATACCGCAATTTTAGAATTTCACCATCTAAATTTGATAGTCAGGGAAAAAGGGACTGAAGGAGAAACGGTTAAATTCGACATTACTATACTTCTCTGATTTTTCATACTTTGCCATTGAGGAATCTCGATTATTTAAAAACAATCTCACAATTTCTCCCAAATCTATCCGTTTTCTTATAACAAACGATACAGAATGCATTATTATGATAAGCATTGATGTAACGCTAGGTTGTGGAAGATATCTTTGAATTGGGATGGGACAAAATATATGAACAAAGTTAGCAACAGCTGTTAAAAAAACTTTTCAAAAACTTGTACACATCTAGAAGACACATATTTTGAAATGGTTGAATTTTACAGAGAAGGAAACCTTTTTCAGATTTTTTTTTCTTTTGGAATAAAATATAAACAAAAAATTGAGTGACAACACTTAAAAAATTCCATGTAATTTGAAACGCTTGAAATTTTTAAAAGAATAGAGTTTCAGCACTCTTAAAAAATCTGTGGTAGATTCGTAAAGGATTTTTTCCTTAAATTTACAGGATACACATTTTAATTTTAAAAAATACCCGAACATGGTTTCTTTCACTGTGAATTTCAACATTTTCTCTTTAAATTTAGGAAAAAGCTTCCCCCTGTCACTGCCAATAGAACATCCATGACTGCGGACAAATAATTATCCTTTTTATACTTAGGCTCTGCATACAGAATGGCAACCCTACTATCTAATGCATTCAGCAGTACCCCAGCATAGAAAATTCCTCTTTTTTATTTCTTCCTGCCAGAACTGATTATGTAAGGCACCTGAGGGGTTCAGTTGCATACTTTTTCTGATAAATGAAAGAAGAACACTTCTTAATTAGGCACGAAACAATGGTTCATCCAGATACTATTCGAAAATTGTAAATTATTGCTCAGAGTATGATAATATGTTGTGCGCTCATTAATGCATGTTGGGTTTCAGAAAAGAAATCACAAGATTCGATCAAACAGGCCGACATTTTCAGAATTTGTTTCCTACATCATTGATGAGTACAAGAAGACACCAGAAATGGATTTTCACTGGATTCCCATCCATCGATTTTGTACTCCCTGCCTTATTCCCTTCAACATCATCATGAAATTTGAAACCTTAAATGTAAGTTTGCAGGTTACAGATGGATAATAGTTGATAATTTGTAGGGAGACAGACATTTAAGGATCACAAGACCAAACAGTTCCAGATGAAAGTTACAGACACAGGCACAATTTTAAAACTTGCGACCCTTTTCCTCTTTTTGTTTGACTGCGGAGACTCATGCAAAAAGATTGTGAATTGGGGAAAAGTTTCCAAAAAGTTCTCATCTTTCATGGATAGGTACTTTTTTGGAAAGATATTATCAAATTGATGGCCAAGGTGCAAAACCACATATCTTCACTCACAATGAAGCGGACTTCCTGTCGTACTTCATTTTTTATTAGGGCAGTTAGTCAACATAGTTTCTCAAAACCTTCCTTGATTTTTCTTCTTTACTGGCAAGATATTCTGTATAAATGTTAAGTTATAAAATTAACTTGTTTCTATTTGAAAATATAAAATAAAAGCAGAAATTTTGAATCAGCACAACGGATATACGTCATTTTGTATTTTGGCCATCGATGTGCACATTTAATTATTGGCAACATGTAATTTGGTGCTAGCAATAAGGAAATAGCTTGTCTGAAGTCTTCGAGAACAAACTGTCCGAACACATGCTGAACCTTAATCAGTTTTGAAGTTGAGTGAAGAGGTACTTTCAAACTTTGACGCCACTGTTCTTTCCCCAAGATTTTTTCAGGGATATATAATTTTTGGAGTGGAAACCCTTCAAAACACTCAGTCAACATGCCACAATTGAATCGGGACGTGTGAAAACCACTTATGTCCATTTTTTCACTCAAAAAAATTTGAGACTGGGAAAATGGACATTACCGGTTTTCGCATGTCCCATTTCAATTGAAGTGAGTCCGTGGGTAGAGCTTATCCATCATTTCCTCCAACTAAGACATGCTTTAATGATAACTCCGTAATTACTTGATTCTTTTTTTTATTTTTCCAGGAGGATTCAGCCTACCTTATAGAAAAAGCTAACATTGCGCACAGAATCAGGCCTGAGTGGAAGAATCCAAACAAAGATTTGGTTAAAACACGCTCACTGATGCAATATTATTACTCACAACTGACGGACGAACAGAAAAAAGCACTGTATGATATCTACAGGTAATTTTTTACACTACGCGTCCATAATCCATCCATGGTCAAGTGTACCGTTAGGTAAACTGCAAGTAATTTCAAAAATGATGGTGGCACCTCAGATGACAAGAAAAAGATGGAGCTCCATCATCTAACAGAATATCCTTCTTGTACTCTTTTAACTTACTTCACTTCCCATGAAAGCTGGGCTGCAGCTAAATTATAAGGAGCTGACTAAAAAAATTTGTTTCCTCAACACTGCTCATTGTATAGACGATACATTTGTTCAATAAAACTAATTTTCATTTTTCACTTTATTCTCGTGGGATCAAAATGAAATCTTCCGAAGATGGGTTTTTCAAGTATTGGAACGAGATCTCTTTTATCAATTATAAATCTATCACGGCGAGACTTTAAACTTTGCCTTTTTTTATTTCAGATATGACTTTAAAATCTTTGATTATTCCAAGGAGCAGTACCTGACATAAGAAGAGAGGTCTGATGCGGTAAACCGACGAAATATGGAAAAAATGGAGACATTCGGTAGTTTAGCTGAACCATTAAAGGCACACAACGACATACGCTGGGGTAAAATACATTATCTTTGTATTGACTGATAAAGCCTCACAAATAAGCACCAGTGACCTCGGTGATTGAGCTTGAAGGAGAAGGAATACCACCGACATTTGGTTACTGCGGAGGACTGTCATGGATAGTAAAAAAGCCATTGATATAAACACAACATCAAATAACTCGAGTAAAATGACGGAAAAGGGAAAAATTCATTCTTTTCGTTTTCGTTGCTAAAGATCACACATTATTAATTGAATCAGTGAGAACGAAAACACACCAACTCGGTAACTCAGAAATGCTCGATTTCCATTAAAGATGGTTGATTTACATAAAAGTCATTGAAGTTAGCGCATCTGTTCCAACTTGGACCTTTAAAGTGTCCATTAGTACTTGTATTTCAGCAGCAAAAATCTTTTTCTGAAAGTAATTTCTTTACCTACTGTGAAGTTATGTGTGTGTCTTGATTATGACTAAGAGTGTCGGCCAGCCATTTGCTATCGGGACTTTAGTAGGACGTCATTTTCCTTGACCGGGGGTGGCTACCGCCACTCTTGATTTTAATTTTTCCGAATTGGTGTGCATTTTCATTCTCACTGATTCAATTAACCGTATCCATTCAAGGGTGTCTGGCAAAATTTTCTTCCCCCTATCTCGAACTTTCCACTATTCTCCCTAACTCTTGGGATATCCCCCTTCTTCACTTTCTGAGATTTTACCTGACCTTCTTTCCAAAATTAAAAAAAGCAAAAAAATCAACATAGCTAGGCGCCAAGTGCCATTACAGACTAGTAGGGAGTCCGGATTAGCTATGGGCTCAGTATTGTAGCACTGTGAAGCTATGCAAAGAATCACAATCTTGCAAGAGAGTTCGCAACTCTTCTTGACTTCCCCGGTCGCTAGACACTCTGCCATCAGCCTCAAGAATCTTCTACTTAGTATGACCGCTCTCAGCATTTAAGGGATACCCGAAGTTGTCACACTCTAACCAATAATAAAAACTATTGTTATCGTTGATACCTCACCAAAGTGGTAGATAGCTCACACAACTGTTGATTAAGGATCGTAGAATCAGATATTCACTGACTTTGACTTTATATTGCTCTTGATAGACAACTTGGTAGATCATAGATTTTAAGGATGTAGAGATATTTTCATTTGTGATATTGATAAAGTAAGATTTATTCGTAATTCCTTTTTTTTTTTTTTTTTTTTTTTTTTTTTTTTATAGCAACATAAACTATACAAACGCTTGAATGAATGCCTGAAAACTAGTTATTTAGTATTAAGTTCGAAATTAGAGATAATAACTATTATGATTTTAAGATGATAGAAACTGTGATGGAAAGGATTAATGACCTACTTTGTTGATAAATTCAGTTTGTTTCTGATTAGGGATTGTTTGCGGGAAAGAGAGGAGATGCGCCTTAATTACCTCAAGCCACTGCAAAGACAGCTACGCAGATACAAAAAAATTCGGCAACGGCTACGCTTTGAGATTCTTTGATATGATGTTCCTTGCAATCTCCTGAGTATGAGCTTTTAAAATTGGACTGTTTGGGTGCTAATCTTTGGAAACCTAAGTCTGAAAAGTTCGCATTTTGGTAGTTTCACACACTTAATCTTCTTTAACTGCGTCTCGCCCATTGAAAAGATCAGACAGAGGACAGACTTGCAGCACTTGGTACATCAACTCACGATCAGTTCAAAATGTAAGGCTCCAAATCTTAGACTCAGTTACAGAGCCACATCTCCAAACAATGACGAGGAAAATGCACTTTTCAGGTCCGATTTTATCAAGATTGGCACATAGAAAGTTTGATTTTATAAGTTCATCTTATGAGGAAAATCATATAAAAAAATCTTGAAATTTAATTGATGTCGAATTTTTTGGTCTGTGTGTGTAGTCCTTTCAAGATTTATTGACCGGTCAGGAGCGATTATTTGTGATTTGGTACTGGAGTTTTGTTGATAATAGACTGTAATGATTAGTGCATTATTAATATTTGAGCATGATGAGCAAATTATTTTTTTAAAAACCAGGAACCAACGATTGATAGTAGAGCTGGCTGAGAAACTACATCCAAAACCACTTTATCATCACACCTTGTCAAATTTCTTTAAACTTGAGTTTAAAGACATCAGTGCAATATGCCTCACAACATGACACCTTGCTGTGGAGTTTCATTCATTTCAGGATTGGCACCTGAATGAGGGATCTTATAGTATTGACACACTTTGGTTTCGAGTGCTAGTGAACAGGTCAAACTGCACAAAAAACGTATAAACGTTTCCACATGCATTTGTAAACTTGCTCACAAGTATTCAAACTCAAAAAGCATAAGTGCTGATTGTACCTAGAGGACTTCCCGTGTGCTTCGATAATTATAGAAAATTTCACCAACTTTGCTACGCATCAAGTTGGAGTGATTATTATTCTAGTTGTACCCTTTGCATACGTTGCAAGTGTTTTATTAAAAATGGGGGTCATCGGTGCATTATTCATCGATGTTCGTGAAATGTGTTGCAAAAACCCTCATCAATGATTGTGAAATTTGCCCGGGCCATCGATGAGTGATGCACTGATGACTCAAACTTTCAACTTAAAACTGGCAACGTGTGCAAAGAGCATTGTATGGATAGACTTCAAATTTTGGTAATATCTAAAGACAAAAACGGAAAAAAATGCGGGAAAAGAAGACAAAAAAGAAAAAGGTGCAAGGTAACGTGAGGCTACCTATTATTTTTCATTAAGAACGTTGCCTGGTTGCTATAAAGATTCAGCAGAATTGTTTTTTTATCCTGATATATTTAGTTTAGGTGAGTATCTGTGATAAAATTTTGAAATAAATTGTTGACATCAAATGTTTCCTTCTTCCTTTTTTTCCTCATTTAATTTATTTCAGGACTTCATGGTAAGTCTCAACCATGCAACGCAAAGTCATAAAACCATAAAAAACCAGCAATTAAAAAATCACTTACTTCCATGATGTTGTCCTAAATTCGATTCCAATAACCCACTTGTCATTGTGTAATTTTTGCCAGGTACTGCTAACCAAGATTCCTGCGGTGTCATACGCTTTCTTTTTGCAGTTTGACTGTAAACATGATTAAATTTCCGTTAAACTACTTATTTCTTTTCATAAAGTTTCCAGAAGTTGAAATTTACTAGTCACAGCAGAGTATCTGATTAGAAACAATTATCTAAAAATTATGCACAATACTACCTAATGGTCAATACCTATATTACATTCTAAACTAATCAAAGAGATAATTCATATTGATCAACTTCTTACATGATGAAGAAAAATATCCATTTTATGCAAAAAAAATTCACTCTTAAACACAACTGAGGTACACCGTATCGACATACAACCTTTAACTGAAGTAATTGTTGAAAAACTTCAAAAACTGTCCTGCCTGTGCGAAAGAATATACTAGGACTTCGAATTTCAATCCTTCAATTTCACTTGTTTGAGGGTCAGAAAATATCAAATTAAACAAAAAATAAAATTAAAGGATGCCATTGGTGTCGGTCTATAGGATTTTTGCTGTTTTTTCCCTTCTCTACTTGCTTAATCCCACTTCACCCACTTTCATTCCAAATTACCCCGTTGTATCAATAATTATTCATCCATTTTATCAAAGATATCTTTTGAACACCTGTGTAATGTAGTATTTCAATGGATGATTCATCTATTTAAATACATACAAACAAAATAGGGAAACAAGGCTAAAATTTAAAAAAAAAAACCCAGATGTTTCAGGCCATTTATCTTCAGAAATCAGTAATAGAAAATAACATAAGTAAAATTGCTAAAAGCACCTCAACATCTCGAGTTGTTGCCCTAATTTCTTGTTTTCTTTTTTTACAAAAAAATATAAACATTGCGTTCATGTTAATATTACGTTTTAGGCGCTATTTAGACCTTGAACGTCTTTTAAATTCAAGCCTTGATCCTGTTTTTGTGTCCTACTTTTACAAATTTACACACATATAAGAACAGCAATAAATTGATTGATATTACTTAACAGACAAAAAAAAACTCACTTCTGACATAAAATCTCCATCTGCACTAACAGAATTTTCTGTGAAGTTATACAAAGCTGCCGCTCTCAGCCTTTTCTTTTCCTTCAGTTTTTGTTTACATTCATCCAATTTCAACTTCATGGCCTGGAAATTACAAAAACAATGAGACATAGGGGCAATTTTATATACTCTTCACAAAGGTAGTTCTTTCGATCCCTCCCCACTCTTTTTTTTGGAGAACAACAAATTTAAGATGCTGGATCATCAGTGTAATTCTGATACCTGAGATAAGTAAACAAGTAACTGGTTAACCAATCAATACTCATTCTATCTGAGGGTCCATTCATCATCACCTATCTGCTCAGAAATCAGTCTTACTTGGTAGTGTGTATTTCACATGAAAAAGGAATTTCATGGCTTATGGTGACACTCGAATAGGAAAGTTATACACAGGTACAGTAAATTTGAAATTATGTCATCTTATGTCTCCCTGAAAAATGATCAGAAAAATTTGAGTACTGAACTAACCTCATGATCGATAGGCAGACAAACCCAGATGCATAGAATAAACAGATTAGCTCTTTTCCCTCCCTTTGTACTAGTAAAGGGTGTTTTTCCTCAATCACCTCTTGGAAGTAACTCATTCTTCTGCTATAATTCAGTTCAATAATTTGCTGGCTGTTCAACATCAATGCTAATAAACATAATTTTGATAGATATATCTAAACACGGTCTATCGTGCAATCTGAGAGAAATATGATCTTCCAAATGTACTACTTTAGCCCCCATTCTCTCCATCTTTTATTTTAAAGGGGGGGGGGTCTCTCAAACTAGATTTAAGAGGAACCTTGCCTTACAGTAAATTTAGAACAAGCCCTGTTCAATGATAAAAAAGAAGTAAAATTGATTAAAACCTGAAGGTTTCGACTCAAAGAAAAGGCAAACTCTGATTGGGTATCTTGAGGTTTTTCTTTTTCAGAGAAGTAGGAAAACTGTCTTTCCGTAAAGTCAGTGATTACAGGCTCAAACTCATCCGACAGGTAAATGTGAACTTGAGGAAAACCGCAATGGAAATCATCTGTCACCTCTATCTTCACCACATCGTCATACCGTCTGATCACCTAGAAACCAGAGGAGTTAATGATTTTAATTCTCTCAAAGTGGCGATTGAACACAAAAATCAAAAATATCTGGCTTTAACCTGACTTTTTTGACAAATTCCATACTAATTTTGGCAAAATTCCCTATTTAATCCATGATTTAAAAAAAAGAGGAATCATCTTGACCATTAGTGAGAAGAACTGATCACTTTATGCACTGATCATTCTTACAAATTGTTTGCCTGACTAATTTTGTCCTGCTAGAATAAAGCGCTGTACGAACATTCGAGAAACAACATTTCATCTAATAAAATGTTTATTTTCAGGGAAAATTGAGAATATTACCTCTTGAAATTTTCAGATAATTTAGATCTGATTGCGAATAAAATCCCCTAAAAATTTGGAGAAAAATTTTCACAAATTTTTCTGAGGATTCATGATTTATCAAAGGTAATTTAACAACATTTCCTTAGTATGGCAGACTTTACCACAGAATATTCTTGAGCGTTTGACAATGATGATACACAGCCGACCAGCGAAACTGCTCAGTGCAGTCTTAAAATGAAAAAATTCTCTGACCTTGAGCAAATTCCCTGACTTTTTCCAGAATTTCCAGGTCTTTAAATTTCCTGACTTTTCCATGCTTACCCTGACTCATATCTCTGTGTCTTTATTTTACATTCCCTCAGACTGCTCATTAGATTTTTATTATACGTATTTTGATATCTTATTAAAATCAGTATAGGATGGAAAAAATTTAAAGGAATGAATAGTTCCAAAGTATAAACGATATACTGCAATATAGAAAGTGCTATTGCTTTCCATTCTGTTCGTGTTTGCCTTGGACAGGGTTCTCTGTGCAAAGTTTACCATTACCACTATTTAAAAAAAATTGCATGCAACTAACTCTTCTACCAACTTATTTTACTTTATCTCTTCCTAGGACTGCTCCATGGCACGGAAAGATGTTCTATGGATGCCAATTATAAAATCTTGGATTTACTCTTTCGGAAATGCCCTAGGTAAAAAAGTATTTTGACGACATAGCAAACTCTGTAATTGCTATATTAGAAACTTGCTTTCATTTAATGCAATTACTTAGTTGTTAACGCATGTACCCAATACACTTTTTAGAGATTTGAAATTGAGAATGCAAAAACTCAATTCACCAAGTGTATGTTACATCTCTTGCGCTTTGAATAGCAAGAAGGAATAACATTTATTCTTCATCCGTATGGTGATTTTTGACACGAGAGTTTTGATTTATATTACCTCCAATTTTTTATCCTTCTTGATGACACACAGTTCTTTACTTGCCTCTACCAGATAGTATGTGTAATCAGGACTGTATGAGTAAAATATTGAGACACGTTCGCATGTTTCTAGAGGAATGTTACAAGAACAAGTGACAATAAATTGATTGATTTCCAACAGTTGCTTATTCTTGGTGCAAATAACTGCAGTCACAGTGTCTGAAAAAGGAATGGAAGAAATAATAAATTAGTTCATGAATGAAATTCACACCTCCTTTTCGCAAATATACAGCTTGTTTGTTAGTTGTCTTTCTGGGGTTGATTAACCATGATATATGTTTGGGCTCCAACTTACTCTACAGGCTGCCCTCCTCCCACCAGCAATAGGATTTACCTTGATCGTAATTATAAAAGGAAATGACATTGACCACTGACTAACTGACTCCACACATCCATCTTGTTTGCCCCTTGGCTCCTGGCAATCGGAATGGATGCAAACTTCACTGTTCAATGGGTCCAGGACCTGAGAAGTAAAATAAGAAGGCCTCTCGTTTCGCACGGTATGCACATCTATTAATGGAAAACTGCTAACAGGAGTCACAGTTAAATGGTCATGGATAAGTCATGCTAGACAACTGGATGTAATCAAATTTAAAAAATTGGAGAGGCCAAAAATGAAAACATTCTTTGCTATGGAAAACAAGAACTACTCAATCAAATTGATTAATATTGCTGAGATAATAAAAACTTAGGGAAACTGTCGTTTGGGTTGCCCGTCATTATCAAAACCTGGCCTTTTTAGAGTTCCTCAAAAATCATTTGAGAAAAGGCTGTGGGTGTTGATACAAAATGAGGTGCATAACAGCTTTGCTTCAACATTATCAACTTTGAAGTTGTCAGTTACTTATTTGGATCGTGTGTAACGAAACAAAGAGAAAGAAACGTTAAAAACTCTTGTCTGTATCTGCAGCGCCAATGATTTGTTTTAAATTCTTACCATGAGAAAAATGATCGAGACAACCACACAGAATTTGAGGGATGAGGTGAGACGGGACAAAATCCTTCCATTCGATACTTGCCATAGTTGATTCAAATGAACTTTCTAGTCTCTTGCTGAGAAGATTCAAACTTTATGGAACCACCGTACTGCTGTTATTTTAACGTTGGGAAGAAAATTCCGAGAAAATTTGAAATATGCTTCATAAGCCAGGGCACACTGCAAGGAGTGAACATGTGAGGAGTGGCGCGAAGAAGGTTATGTTTACAAGTAACAAAATAACATAACCCCACTTTTGGCGTGATTGATGATAATTAATCTGATTGCCGGTGATAAAGTGATAAATACACAAATATTGCCCAAAGAATTTATACCCAAGTGTCTTTCATCCATTCATCTTCAAGGAAACTGGCCAGAATTGAACTTTATGATGTCACCTACAATTCTTAGTGTAAGTCTCCCTGTTTTTCATTTATCGAAGAAAATGAGAAATTACATAAGTCATATTTTGCTCTTTCTCACACACTTTCCATTTTTTCCTTCGGTTCACATTTCTCTTTCTCCAAGCCATTTTCTGTGAGCACATTTTATTCTCAATTACATCTGGCTTGCAGCCCTAATTATTGAACACTTCAGATGTTTTTGTCCTCTCCTCGTATCTGATAATCAGGTCATGATAGATTCATCATCTAACTTCCGGTTTGATTTTCTACATTTTGCCCAACGGTAATTTCCTTCTAGTCCAGTTAGCCCATGAGTAGCTATAACGTATGAGCAGGAGCAAAAAAATCCAAAGTGTGGAGACGAAAGGTGTTACGAAATAAGGCATTATTTTACTTGCCCAAGAAATGCAGATAGTCAATAGACAGCGGAACAGCGAGTAAGTGGGAGTTGCTGTTGCATGGTTGGCAAGGAAGAAAGAAGACAGAATGTTCAGGGCAAAATCCTGATCTCTAAGGAATAGCAATTGCCCAAAGAAGAGTGTAACACTCTATGTTGACATTAGACTGAATGGCAACTTCTCAGTAGACAGCAAGTCTTCGGTTAAACTGCAGAGATAGGTACATACTCCGGTTACAGTGTTTCGAAATCTCCGCTTCTATTTTATTTTTCAAGGGGAAACAGAACCATCACTATGACTTAAAATTTTTATGGAGAGGAAAAATTACAGAAGTTTTCAAGAAATGGCGCTCAGTGGTTTTTAATTTCGAAAATGAAGTATAACAGGAAGCCTGCAACGCCGCAAACTGGGTACAAATTTTTGCAGTTTCACCATTGAAGTATGTGATCACAATGATTTTCTAACTTTTCACTTGTTTTTTTTTTTCAGTATAGATTACTGCCTACTTTGAGAAATCTTAGTATTCAAAGATCAAAACTTTTTCACACGAGTCAATGCAGGCACCTAATACCCATTGTTGTAGAGCAAACTGGACGAGGTGAAAGAGCTTATGACATCTTTTCACGTCTTTTAAAAGAACGAATCATTTGTGTAATGGGACCTGTAAGTACGTTTTGATGGTTTAAATTGATTTAAGTTTGTAAAGTTTTTTTTTCTTAAGGAGCATAAAACCCAGTTCATCCCAAAAGATAGTTTTAAACCCAGAGTAAAGTTTTGTAGTTTTTCTGATTATTTCAATCCTCTTTCAGTTTCTCTCCATCAAGCTCAAATAATTATGTAGCTCTTGTAATAACAACTATGATACAATGCAGGCTTATATTTTTATCAACTTTGCTCACAACTCTTGTTGTTATGGTTTCATAGCAGAACATAACTAGGTACGTTCAATATATAATGAGATTATTTTGAGTGTGAGGGAAATTTTAAAGATTAAAATACTAGAAACGGTTTCAATGAAACCTCTTAACCAGGTTGTCTACAAGTCCGGAAAGTTTGAAAATAGTACTGATTTTTTAAGGGCTGCCTGGAAGTACTGAGAAAGTGCGGAAATTCCATAAGAAGGTATGAAATTGTTGTCATTTTGGCTGCAATTTGAGCGAGAAATTTAAATTTTGTCAATCGGAGGTACTGAAAAAGAACTGAATATTTATGTTAAGGAGGTTCGGAATCTCTTGGGAATGTGGTTGAAAAGCACTGATTTTTTGTCAGCCTGTTTTAGTTGACACCATGGTAACCCTTCTTGTAAACTACCCAGCTATCTGGAATTGGGGGGAAAATAAGGAAGACTTTAGCATTTTGTTTTTCATTTACTCTCCATTCACTCTTTAGTTACTCTTTAATTTCATCTCTCTTTCCCTTAGCTTTGTTAATTTACTTTTTTACCTATTTTCCCCTACATTCTAGATCGATGATGGCATTGCGTCCCTGGTTGTTGCTCAATTATTATTCCTCCAGTCTGAGAGTAGCAAAAAACCTGTCCACATGTATATCAACAGGTAGGTAGTTAAGATTATTTTAATTTATTATGCCAAGAAAATCAAGGCAAACTACCAAGAACAGACTGAAAAAAATGTCATTTCAGGCTCTGTGTGTGACCTAAAAGCACAAGCTGGACCAATTTCCTTTTGTATTAAAACATATGAAAACATCAATATCTTGATAAGGTACCAATGCCAGTAATTCTTGTTGCACTAATTGTACTCTATGTGAAATTTTGAAGAGGGAACATTCATCAGAATTTCGTACCTATTCTAGTAATCCATTGTGCTTTTACTTACTTAGGTATGTTGTGAAATGCAAATTTTTCTAGAGAAGTATGTATCATACTTATCTGCTCAGTTTCAATCTACCATGACTCATATTGTACAGTATCTCATCCACTTCCTAACAGTCATATTTATTGTTTTAATTTACAGTATTCTCTCGTTATAACAACACTCATTATAACGAAAATCTCTCTTTTGCGAAGGAATCGCCTGGTCTCTTGAAGGATTTTGTCGCTATAACGACACTCATTATAACGAAAATCTCTCTTTTGCAAAGAAATCGCCCAGTTCTTTGTCGATTCGTTATAGCAAGAGAATACTGTATCACCTACATGCTTTATTTTTCTTTCATTCTAGCCCTGGAGGAAGCGTAACAGCTGGCCTAGGAATTTATGACACAATGCAATACATTCTTCCGCCTATAGCTACCTGGTGTGTGGGTCAGTGCTGTTCCATGGCGAGTCTTCTTCTAGCAGCAGGGACCCCTGGAATGAGGCACTCTTTACCCAATGCTCGAATCATGATACATCAGCCATCTGGAGGAGCACGTGTTCGTATTATTTTCACAAGTTTCTTAAACTTCAGATCTTTTAACTTCCAACGGAGTGCATTCTGCAACAAGGAACTACTATACCTGACTCAGTTTAGGATCAACATATGTGTCATCAGTTTCCCTGTGCAGATATGTGTTTTCATGGAAGTGCCAGAAATAGTGGCTCCTTTCTGCAAAGTACTGTCTAATTGGTTCATTCAGAGTTAAAATACCGCTAACTCTTACTATGACATTGTTGAAAGGGATTGCAATGAGAAATGATGTTTGTGAAGGACTGTTGATAAGAAACGACATCCCAAAATGGTACTATGAAGTTTATTGGTGCTAAATTTTAAAAATAGCATTTTGGCAATTGATTGGAAATGAAATCTCGAACTTTATGTTTTGAAAAATCTGTTGTGAAATTATTTTGGTGGGTTTGAAAGTGCCTAGGTACATGATAAAAAAGGGCAGGGTTGATGCATACCTCTCAAAGTTTATGAATCCGGAAGTGGGGTCCAGGAGTCCTCTACCTTACTTCAAATTGAGCAACCCAATCTGCCAAATAGTCAAAGCTATAATATTTTGTGCCGCTTGAAACTCTCTGAACATTATTGTTGAATACATTCGTACATTTATTGTTTCTTTTACAAAAACATTTTGAATGATTTTTTGTGAGAGTTGGGTGTGAGCCTGGACAATTCTATGTTGCACTCAGAAAATAGTTCGCAGAATGTTATAAAAAGAGTCCAGTGGCCCGATTATTGAAACTATGTCAGCCCGACACGATAAGACAGCCCTATCTCAACCATGCAATATATCGCAATTTGATGTCTTATCGGGCTGGTTTAAATTTCAATAATCGGCTTGCAGGACAAATTAGAATTATCTTGGACTTTGTGAATTATGATCTGATGAGAAAGTCAGCTCAGACACTTTTAATGCAGCCGAGTAATTAGGTAATTCTATTGATCTCACATAGCACAGCGATGTTATAAGAAAAATGTGCATCTGGAAGTTGTAAAATTTCTGGTTTTTTTTATAATGTGTGAGGAAAATTACTCATTTTCACCCCTCAAAATGAAATATCAAAATTTGTTGCTGAAAACCTCTGCTAAAATACATGCTTCAGCAGTTATGAAGAACCATTCAGAAAAAAGGCACATGTCCATCTTATATTTCTAAGATTGTACACTTTTGCTGTTTTTCCACTCCAAAAAAAATTCACTGAATTTCGCACAAAATATGCAGGAAAATCAACTAAAAAAAACCAGAATATTTTAGAAGGCAAACGTATTAAAATGAAAGTCCCTGATTGACAAAAAACCGCCGCCAAAGTTGCACAAATCACCAGCATCAAATGTATGTCGATGGCATAAGTGCAAAACCGTGTATCTCCATCCCGGTGCTTCAAAATTTCTGCTCCTATTTTACTTTTTCGAACAGAAACAAGCCAACTTTACAGCTTGAAACTTATACAACATATATCTTGGTGACAGGAAAGAAAAATCAAGATGGTTCTCAAGAAATAACGTTGTCTGAAGTTCCGAAGACAAAATGAAGTATGGCAGGAAGTCTGTGACACCGCAAATTGAAATATTTGCTTTGCACTTTGATCATCAACAAGTGCCCTTTTTCCAAATGGTCCTTCATATAGTTTCAGCTTGTTTTATGTATTTTGATTATTTATAATCTTTCCATTTTATCTCTATCAATTTCTTTGAAAAAATGTACTCAATGTTTATTTATTCATTTCTTTACTTTTCTACAAAAAAATGTCATTGAAATGAACATTATTGTTTCAGGGACAAGCAACTGATATCCAGATTCAGGCTGAAGAAATTTTGAAAATCAAGAGGACAATTAATAATCTTTATGTGAAGCACACTGGTCTTCCCCTCGAGTCAATTGGTAAGTTATGCATCTTGATGATTTTTTTAAGGTGTTCCTTGTCTGATCTTCATTCAACCTCTTATTATAATCTTAAGGTGGCTTAGTCTTGGTTTCTGTTGTGGTCAAGCTGGCGTGCGATATATCAAACTACTGGCACTATACAGGGTGTTTCAGACCACCCGTACCAGGCCTTTTTCTCGGTTGGTATAGGTCGTACGAAGTCGGAGACCGCAGGAGAATCGACGTCAATTTTGCGACCAAAGAGGAATCCTGAGAAATTTTTGGCGGGGGCGAGGCCCCCTTCCTCAGGGGTTACTTTCTGCCGTTCAGGGGGGTCAATTAGAACTCTTAGGAGTCACTTAAGATGTAAATGTGTTCTGCTCCTCAATTTGGATGCAATCATCACGTGCTTCTTATTCTAAAATCTTTGATTTTACATTAAAAAATTAAAAAACGGTCAGAATTATAGAATTGATTAATACGCACACCAGTATATACAGGGTGTTTCAGACCACCCGTACCAGGCCTTTTTCTCGGTTGGTATAGGTCGTACGAAGTCGGAGA